TGCGTCCATGGTGTCCGAGACATTTGCGATGGTGGCATGGTGGTGTCCGATGGTACCCCAAGCGTGTACCGATTGAGATCTGTTGGCGTCCCCGAGCCTTCGTTTGTGTCCCGATGAAGGCCCTATTTATTTGAGATGGGTCTCGTTGTGTTCCCGTTGAATGTTCGACAAAGTCCACATGATGCCACAACGGATTTTCGACGGCGTCCCGAGTGTTTTCGTTTTTGCTTTGACGGTGCAAGGATTTGCAATAGCGCATGGAATCATAGTCGCAGACCGGGTGCGTTTTCATTGCGCTGTAAGTTCGGCGAGCAGATCTCGATATGATTTGGATCGTGACAGGTTTTCCGACCATGTGCGTCAGTGTCAGTGTCTAGTTCGAGTGTTGCCAGTGCTTGCCCTGGCCCACGACGGGCCCACCGTTTCCAGGATGGTCCAGATGTCATCCAGAGGAACCCTCACTAAGCCCAGAGGGCCGCATCCGAGAGCTCCGAATCGGCACGACAAGCTGGGGGACACCCCGAGCCATGTCAACCTCTGGCAGCCGCCGGCAGCAGCGGACCGAATCACACGTGGTGGCGCGGGCCTTTTGCTGGCTTGTGCAGGGAGCAGGTTCTGGTCCCAAGTTCAGTCCCGCTGGTTTGGGAATCGGCCTCGCAGAAGTAAGCAGCGGCTCATAAGCGAGCATCGCAACAGCACGACTTGCCGCATGCCGTGGTCGAGTCCTTTCTGGCCGCCAGTGCGGCCGCGGAGCGAAGGGCGGCCAGCAGGACGCAGGAGCTGCACGCGAGGTTCACCCGCGTACGGGCCTGGCGTACGGGAGTGTGGGGTGGGGGGGCAAAAGGAGGCTCGAGTGAGTTTTGGGGGAGGAACGGGGGGGGAGGATGGAGGAGGGGAGGAGGGGAGGAGGAGGAGGAGGAGGAGGAGGAGGAGGAGGAGGAGGAGGAGGAGGAGGAGGAGGTGGAGGAGGAGGAGGAAGGGGGGGAGGATGGAGGAGGGATGAGGAGGATGAGGAGGAGGAGGAGCCTCCGCTCCCGGGATCAAGAGGGTGGTCAGCTCGGGGTCCCACGTCGCCTGCTCCACCTGTCTGCGCGGTCTCTCTCGGCACTGCACTCCATCGGCCTTGATTTAAGTCGGGCCTGTCCCTCTACAGGAGGATTATTCAAGAATTATAAAAATAGTCTGGGGGCGATTTTACGATCAAATTAGGCCATGTTCGAACATTGTTTGACTATTCTCAAGTTTTCGCCCCAAATCCGCCTGTAGGGGGACATGCCCGACCTAAGCCTTGATGCACCTCACGGGAGCGGTCTCGGCACTAGACCGAGACCACGCTCGCCTGCCCACGCGCCGTGCTGGCAATAGGCGCGGGGCACCACTTTGCCAATTCGGTCGGAGCACCAATTCATCCGTGCAGGGGCCAGGCAGCGGGGCGGACCCCGCTGGGCCGTGCCCCGGCAGAGGATGGCCCTGGGGGGGGCGGCAGCGAGGAGGCGCGAGCCAGGCGGATCGGTGGCTCGGGCGGACGCTGTGCCGGAGGAGCGGCGAGGGACGGATGGCGAGATCCGAGGCGTGAGGGAGGAGGCAGGATGGGGAGGGGTGGGCGAAGACGGACATGGCGCCGTCGCACGCGGGCAGCACTGATAGTTTTTTGGGCGGCGCAGGGTCACAGGGCCCTGCCAGTTTGTAATTCGACGATGCAGCTTTACCCTCGCGGCTGCCCCTGCCTGCACGCGCGCAGGGGCGGCATCGTGCAAGTCTTTGTCACTTGGCCGTCCGGGCTTGCAGGGTGCCACAAACATGGCGCAGGCAGCGCGCGTTGGCGGCTTCTTTGGCATGGCCACCGCCTAGCTTTGGCCGCTGACGCCTGCGGTTCCCTTGGTATCGTGCGGCCAGTCGTACCGCTTATATGTGTTTGTTTTTTGTTTGTTATATCCCTCTATCTCTCTCTCGCTCTCTCCCATCCTCCTTCCTCAACGTTGCGCTCTCTTTCTCGCGCGCTCTCTCTCTCTCTCTCGTTTTCTCTCTCTCTCTCTCTCTCTATGTATATAGATCTCTCTCTTTGTTTTTGTCTCTTTCTCTCTCTCTAGGCCTCTTCTGGATAGGGCTCGATACGTCAGGCAATGGCGGCATCCACTGGGTACTCGAGGGGGGCCGGTTTGCGAACGTTGAGAGCGCACCCTGTCGCTGAACGACGAAGGTACGACATGCTGAGGCGATCTGATTCGGCCAGCGCTTGCAATCCATGGGCGCAAAAACCACGACCATGAGTTGTCAGGCAAAGCGGAGGGGAACAGCGGGAATTCTCCGCAAAGGAAGACACGACACACACACACACACACGCGCACACGCACACGCACACGCACACGCACACGCACACACACACGCACACGCACACGCACACGCACACGCACACGCACACGCACACGCACACGCACACGCACACGCACACGCACACGCACACGCACACGCACACGCACACGCACACGCACACACGCACACACGCACACGCACACGCACACACGCACACACGCACACACGCACACACGCACACACGCACACACGCACACACGCACACACGCACACACGCACACACGCACACACGCACACACGCACACACGCACACACGCACACACGCACACACGCACACACGCACACACGCACACACGCACGCACGCACGCACGCAGACGCACACACGCACACACACACAAAAACAAAAAAACAAACACACAACACAGAACACACAGAACACACAGAACACACAGAACACACAGAACACACACAACACACAACACACACAACACACACACAGCACACACACACAACACACACACACACACACGCACGCACGCACGCACGCACACACACACAATTTGCCTGTACGTGTAATCCCATAGCTTTCCAAGCTCGGAGGCACATCGTGAAAATCATAGAGTTCGTAACCCACGGGTAATCTGCTTGGCACTGAGCATCTCAGACGTGCCCTCTGGAGCGCCCCGAGTTCACAACCCCCCCACGGGCACCAGCTCTGCTGGAGTTCCCCACCCAGCCACCCTGGAGCTCCCAGCTCACGGGCCCCCCTCTGGACGCCCTTCTGGCTGACGACGACGACGACGACGAGGACGTCGACGACGACGACGTCGACGAGGACGGCGACGACGACGACGACGACGACGACGATGGACGAGGACGGCCACGACGAGCGTCCCGCCGCGATTTGTTGTCGCCACGCGAGGGGGGTCTGGGGGCCCGCCCCCTTTTCCGGCGGGGCCGGGACAATGGAGGAATCCGCTCCCGAGCGCGCCAAGACGCTCTCAGCTCGTAGTGTGGAACGTTCTATGCGAAGGCCGCGGCGCCCGAGACGTCCTCCGTACAACGGGGGCCAGTCCACAGGAAACCTTCCACGAGAAACCCTTCCTGAGAACCCAGGGCGTCCATGGATCTTTGGCGGGGAACGTCGCGCTTTCCACAGCATAACCACCATCGAAACCCAAGAAACCCAGGGCACCCTGGAGGCAAGCGGGGTGTGTCTTGGCATGCGCCTCCACTGCAGCCGCCAGACCTCAGAGACTCTATAGGCTTACGCCACATCCGCCGACCCCTTAACTGAGCTCAAGGTTTTGATGGTGCTTTTCGGTGTTTGGAGGATTCACGTCGCGCACTTGGCAAGCCTTTCAGTGCAGTTGCAAGTGCCAGAGGAAATTGCCGAAGTCGACTTTCACCGTGGACGCGAGCAATGTCGCGCGTGACGAGAAGAAGGACACCTTGAAATGCAAGGCATGCAAATGATACCAGTATGGCGTCCGTGCCCTGGCCAGTAGAAGTGGGAGCAGCGGGGGTGCGAGCGAGAGGGAGGACGAAACCGATGAAAAGAGGAACGCACAGAAGATGAAAGCGGAGGAGGAGGAGGAGGGGAGGGGAGAGGAGGAGGAGGAGGAGCAGGGGAATATGGAAGGGAGTCAAAGAGGAAGGAGGAGGAAGAGGAGGAGGAGGAGGAGGAGGAGGAGGAGGAGGAGGAGGAGGAGTCACGATCTGGTCTTGGGGCGTCACGGGGGCGTCTTGTCGGTAGTGTATGGGTTTCTTGGGGGTTGTCTGGGAGCCTGTTGGGAACCTTTTGGGCCCCGCTTGGGGCGCCCGGGGGCGCTCTTGGGAGGTCTTTGCAGCAGGATGCGAGAAACTTTGAGACAAAGGACAACAAACAAAAATGCTCTCCCGGCTCCCTCTTGGAGCCCTCTGGAGGCCCTCGTGGGCCGTTTTGGGCGTTTCTTGGGCCGTCTTTGGGCCCTCTTGGACCTCGTTCGGCCGTTGCCGAGGCCGTCCTGGGAGGATATGGGAGGTTTCATGGCCCGTGTCGGACGTTGCGAAACCGCAACAGGCCAACGTGGTACAAATGCATGTTTCACGAAGGAAATGAGACAACTTCTGCTTCTTGGGGCTCGCTTGGGACGCCTCTTGGGGGCCTCTTGGGTCGTCTTGGGGGCTTCGGAGGCTGTCTGGAAGCCGTCGTGGGCGTCTTGGAAATACATTTCGGTGACTCGTCGCTTTTTTGGACGGTCAGGGAGGCGTTTTGGTGCCCTCTTGGCTCTTTTTGGGACCCTCTGTTCCCGCGTGGCGCGTTCGGCGGTGGGTCGTGCCGGGCGGGGGGCGGGGGGTCGAGTTGCCGGTCTGGGGTCCCAGGGGGGGCTTCTGGGATTTCACACGCCTAGAGACCCACAAGGGGTCGGTGGATCTTCGATTCATCCACACCCGAGTTTGTCTTCGTCTTGGCTTTCCAGACCCCCGACGTTTCAATTTTTGCAGAAATCGACCCCCAACCGGTGTTTCATCCCGAGCCCTTCTTTGACGGCCCCGAGGTTTGGCAGGGGCCCCAAGAGGCCGAAAAGAGCGCAAAACTTCCCGCCGCGATCTTGGTGTCGCCATGCGAGGGGGCTTCGCGTCCTCTCCCCCCTGCTCGCCGCCTTGGCTTCGGCGCTCCCTGCGCAGGCCCCTCCCCCCCTGGCCGGCGGGCGCGGGGCGCCGCAGCGCCCGTGCCGGGGCGGGCGCGCCCCGGCGCCGCGCGCGCGCTCGCGCCGAGGTCCCCGCCGCTCTCGCGCTCGGCTCCGGCCGCCGCCGCTGCTGCTCGAGGCTCGAGGTCGCTCGTTCGGCGTCGCCCGATCCCTCTCTTCCTCCTCCTCCTCCTCCTCCTCCTTTTCTGCTCCCCCTCCTCCCTCCTCTCTTCCCTCCTCCCTCCTTCCTCCTCCTCCTCCTCCTCCTCCTCCTCCGCCTCCTCTCTCTCCTACTCCTCCTCCTCCTCTCCTCCTCCTCCTCCTCCTCCTCCTCCCCTCCTCCTCCTCCTCCTCCTCCTCTCCTCCTCGTTCCCGTCCTCCTCCTCCTCCTCTTCCTCCTCCTCCTCCTGTTCCTCCTCCTCCTCCTCCTCCTCCTCCTCCTCCTCCTCCTTCTCCTCCTCCATAGGCGCCCTGCTCCTGGACCTTGTCCCTCGGCGTACCCCCATCCCAGGCGGGCGTGAGGGCCTTGGGGGGGCAGGGTTTTTCTGGCTTCTGGGCATGATGGCACGGGCGGGGTTGCTGGACGGCGATCCTGGAGGCTGGCAAAAACCGCGGTCGCGGGCCGAGCGCACGGCCGCGCGGCGGCGGGCGCTTGAGGTTGCTGGCAACGGCCTGGCTGCGGCCAGGGCCGAGCCCGACGCGGCGCAGAGTGAGTTATGCACGGTGCGGAAGTGCTTCGAGGCCGTCGTTGGCGACTCGGAGCTTGCCGACCGCATCGCCGCCCTCGCGCCAGCCCTGAGCGCTTTGCTGCGGGGGGGGGCGCCTTCGGCCGAGGAGGTACTACGGCGCAACGTGGCGCTGCATGCGGATGCCCCTGAGGGAGTGTCCACCGCTACGGCGTCATGCGAGGACTTGCGCCGCCTGCAGAAGAGCGACCGCCTGGAAGGCCGCCAGTTCACGGAACGGGGCTTCGAGACGCGACGGACTTGGACATTTCCGTGGAGATTTGCGTCGCGGAACCTGCCACGTTCGGAGCTGGAGGTCGTGGGAAGCGGGTCGCCGAGGGTCGTGTGCCGCCTTCCGATCCCATTCCGTTTGAAAGGTGGTGCTGGTGTCCGGTTGCGCCGACATTATTCGTTGGTGCTGGTGCCCATCATTGTCGAGAAGGCCTTTGCGAAGCAGATGTGCTCCTGGATGAGCTGGCGCCCGCTGCCTTCGAAGCCTGCAGTCCCGTTTCCGCTCCGCCCGAGACGCTGTCCTCGGATGGTGGCGATGAGGTGGCTGCGGCCATCGACGCTTGGGATCCAGATGCCGCTCCGCCCGAGACAGTGTCCTCGGATGGGAGCGATGTGGGGGCCATCGCCGAGGCCCTCGACGAGTTGTCCTGGAGCGCCATGGTTGAGGCCATCCGTGGCCAAGCTGTGGCAACCACGCTCCCAGACGGCCCTCGGGGGAAATACTTGTATCCTCGCGGGATGCGCCACTCGGCGCTGTGCTGGTGCCAGCCGTGCCTTGATGATCAAATCGAGGGGGCGGAGCGGCGGCCGCCAAGCTTGATGCTGACGGCCCACGGCGCCGCCGATGCGGCTGGGCACCCGCATTCGCAAAAACGCGCGAGATCACCACGCAAATACATGCGGGAAGTCGCGCGCCAACGCCAGCGCGATCGTCGTCTTCCGCCCTTCATCGAGGAGAGCGACAGTGAGAGCGACGACGTGCACGAGGGCTTCCACATGGGGAGCTAGCCCGCGAGGCACTCAGCGAGGTGGACCTGGTTCTCTCCTTAGGCGGCCTGCGGTCGGGGCACTGCGCCCCTCGGCCTCCGCACTCCTCCTCCTCCTCCTCCTCCTCCTCCTTCTCCTCCTCCTTCTCCTCCTCCTCCTCCTCCTCCTCCTCCTCCTCCTCCTCCTCCTCCTCCCTCTCCCCATCCCCATCTCCATCCTCACCCTAATCTGTCTGCCATCCTCCTCCGCCTCCTCCGCCGCGGTGGTTGCTCAGGGGATGGCGGTTGGACGAGGATGCTGGAGTTTGTTGCATGGTACCTGGCCAAACCCACCTTACATGTGGGTAACAAGTGCCCTGTCTGGCTTAAGAAGATGAGGTAACTCCGCTAAGTGCACTCCGCCCACTTAGCCCGGATCTGCATGCCATTAAGCCACCTAGAGCATTTGCCACGCACTTATAAGCTAGGTTCGGCCAGATATGTCCTAGCTTAGCATTAGTCTCTAGACCCCGTATCCCCGTAGCAACCCCTGCGGCCATCCACGAGGCGGCTCGATCGGCGTTGTCTGATCCCTGCCCAGACCCCCTCGCGTCGTTGACAGTTCACGACGGGGAGGGGATTTTTTCCGATTTCGGGGGGCCCTTCCTTGGCCTCGCGAGACCGCCCCGAAAACGTGTCAGGAACGGGGTCCTGACCTCCAGCGGGGGTCGATGGTCTGGGTGAGATCCAAGCGTTGCAACTGGTTCACAGAGGGCGTTTTCGCCTTGTTTCGGGCCCCGGGACCCTCGCAGATCGGTCCGGTACGCAAAAATGACGCAGAAGGATGGCATCGAGGTGTCGGGTTTTTGTTTGTTTTTGCGATGTTGTATGTTCTTCGCAACGTACTATCTGAGGGAGGGCGTTCAATTTCAGATTCTGGCAAATTTGCCTGCGCGGAGGTGGGAGGGGGAGGGATTTCGACTTCGCGCGAGCGGGACTTACTTGCTCGCGTTTCCTTCCCGTTAATAAGGGGGAGGCGGGGGGGGGTAGCGCCATGCAAGTTAATTCGATTGAGTTTGAAGGAAGCGGCGTCTTTCGGGAGCGTCCAGGACAAACGAGCGGGGGAGGTTCGGAGTTTTCGGGCGTTTCCGTCGGTTCCCGGTGGTCTTTCCAGCAGTGCCGTGCCCCACCGGGCGCGTTCGGGGGGGGCCTAGATCGTCCCGTACTGGAGATCCGAGTTATGACCCGAAAGCCAGGGGGCAACGTTATGGGGGGGGAACGCATCGACCCCGAAATGCCCAGGCATCGCCGATATGGGCCTGATGGCCCACCCCGCCCAGGAAAGTCCAGTTTCGTTATCGAGGGTCTGTCACCGATTTATCGGCGATGCATCGCCGATTCCACGTCAATGCTTTCGTTCCCCTTTTTTTCGGTGGCGTCCAGAAGGGGAGGTGGAAACTCGTGGGCCATTCGCAGAGGGGGGTAGGGGATCGGGGGGGAGGCGTCAAAGGAGGCTGTTATTCAGAAGGCGCGGGCCTTATCTGTTGATGTAGGGCCCGCGTTTCCCCCTTTCCCCTCCCATCTTTGCGCGTGGCCAAGCTACTGTGAGAACGTCTCACGCGAAGGCCACTCAGCGCGAGAGATCTGCGGCGATGCCCGGCAGGGCTGAGGAAGGGAGCGGCTTGGTTATTATTTCAGAGAGCGGCTCCAGGTCCCTAAACAGCAGCGGTCGGCAGCAGTGCAGCAGCAGCAGCAGCAGCATGCAGGGGGACAGGAGTTCACCAGAACAGGATGGACAGAATGAGCTGGGAAGGAGACTCTCAGATCGCTGCCCAACCTGGGCCTCTCTTGTCTCTCCACAGCGGCCAGCGGCTGGCACAGAAGCCAGCCAGTGGTGGCTAATAGTCGTTCTCTCTCTTCTTCTCTGCGCGCTCGGCGGCTCCCGTTGCTCTTCGGGCCGCGCTCTGGGGAGGCCTTTTTTTAATTCGTCATGTCGGCAGATCGCCTCCGCTCAAGCGCGCTGTCTGCCGTGGCAGCGACGTGGTCGCCGTGATCCGTGGCTGCGCCATCGCCGTCGCGCGAAGGCGTCCCGTCAGATTCCGAGGAGCCGCCTCTGCTGCGAGCTCCCTCTCGCTGGGTATATATATATGTATGAATGTATGTTTGTATGGATGTGTATATATATATATATATATATATATATATATATATATATATCGGCGCGGTGCAAGGTGTCTCTGGCTCCCGATGCAGATAAGCGCAGTGCGACCCGAACTGCGGGGGACAAACAATGACATAAACAAAAGCTCGGAGGTCCGCGCGGATTTCTCGGATTGGCGCTGGGGCCCCCTGGCGGCGCCTCTGGCGCCGCCCCTGGCGCGCTCCGCGCGCCAGGGAGGGGGGGCCCAGCGCTGATCCGTTGAATCCGCGCGGACCTCCGATCTTGTATGTTTACTCCCCAATCAGTGCTTGCATTGAAGGGGCCCTAGCGGATATTGAAAGATTGAGCGAACGTTTTCCGGCGATTTTGGTAGCCGGCTGGGTTCTCGGGTTCCCGTTTCCCGTGTTCCTGGTGATTGGTTCTGGGCCGATTTTGGTGGGTTGCGGGTTCCCAGGTTCCCAGGTTCCCGGTCGATCTCTTGATCGATCT